GCTTTCATAGCAGTTTTCTCATGGTCCTCTTTCTGCCTCTTGGAAAAATCCTCCTTTGACTCCACTGACTGTGTCTTTGTCCTCCTGCCCTTCAAATATTGACATTGCCAGGGTTTTTTTTTTCTTATCCCCTTTCTGCACTGTAAGATCCTTGGGGGATTCTTTGATCCAGTACCACTATTTGAACTCTGACCGCTGTTGGAGTGACTCAAATCTCTGTATCTAGACACAACCACTCTCCTATTGCTAGAATACAATCTGACTGGAAAGTTTCCACCATCATCTCAACTCAAGCTACCTAAAAGAGAAAGTACCACCTCCTTGTTTGATGCCAGGCTTGGAAATTTCCTAAGTATCTTTGACTATTGCTTCTTCCTTATCTTCAAATGTTGAGCGCTTTCATTTTTACTTATGAAATGTTCCTTTGTTTCCTCCCACTTCATTCACAGGAATCCCACTCTAGTTCACACCCTCATTAGCTCTTACCTGGAATGCTATGAAAGCCACTAACTTGGTCTCCTTGTCTCCTTTATTGTCTCTCTGCAATCCATAGTACTCATTACAGAAAAAAAAAAAGTCTCCCTAGGAAGGCTAATTCCAGTAAGAAATAAAGACAGTGAAGATAGAGAACCTAGCTGTGATCTTGCCTCTCTGTGGCCCCAAATCCTTCAATCACTCCCTATTATCTAATGAATGGAGTCCAATTCCTTTTTTTTCCCTAATTTTCAAGTCATATCTTGATTTGGTTCCAAGGTACGTTTCCAGGCTCAGTTTATCCTACTTTTCTTTTCTCCCCCCTGAATTTAATTACTAAAAATTATAGCTACACCATCTAAACTACGATCAGACCAAAGTCACCACTTATGGCTATATTGCATTAGAACCTTTTCCTTGAGCATGACTCCTCAATTTTTCCATCTCCATTGTATTTCCTCCACCTTGCATACAAGTTTCAGCAAATTTAGCCTTGAGGTATGAAAAAATTCCTGACAATCCGAACCGAGCAACATGGAACATGCTTGCTTGGGCTGTAGTGGCCTCCCTCTCATTGGAGGCTTTCATGCAAAGGCTAGATGGCCAATTGTTGAGTCTCTTATAAAAGGATGAGATGCCCAACAGGGTCTCTAACAACTCTGAAGTTCTATGGTTTGGGGTATTGTGTGCATCCTTCCCCTAGCTCTACATAATTCTTATCCATCCTTCAAGAATGCATCTAACTCATAAATTTGCTCTGAGATCAAATGAAATAATATTTGTAAAGCACTTAGCACCATGCCTGGAACATAATAGGTGCTTTATAAGTGCTTTGTACTTTTCCTTCCCTTCCCTTCTCTTCCTTTCCCAGATCAGATTAGCTTATAGCCGCCTGTTTCACAGCACCTTAACTGATTCTCCCAGCTGGAAAGAGTAGCTCCCTTTTATGAACTTATATTAAAAGTTGGTTTAAGTTCATTGAAATTGTCATCATACTCTACTTTGCATGGTAGCAATTTGTGTATGTTGTATCCATCTACTTGAGCAGAGAGCTCAGCTCTAATCCATCTTCCCTAGTACTGAGCACAGTGCCAGGCACACAGTTGCTACTCAATAATTGTTCATTGAAGCAAGGAATTATGATTATTTGTATGTGGGCTCCCACTGCTGGCTTCCTCTAATTTCTTATCATGGTTTGAAAATGAAGACATGGTTTTAAGGTATGAAACTCTATATGCACCAGGTTCAGCCTTGCTAGATTCTATTGATGAGGAAAGAGTTTGAGTGGTGTCCTAATACCTTTTATTCAGGATTATGAGATTAAAGAAATATAGATTTAGTTTTGGAAGGGATGTTAGAGGCCTTCAACCCCAACGCCCTCATTTTAAAGACAGGAGAACTAAAGCCCAAAGAACTTAGTGACTTCATAGACTTAGAGCTGAAAAGACTCTCATAGGTCATTGAGTTCATTTTGTAAATAAGGAAACTGAGGCTAAGATAGTTGAAGGAATTTGGTCAAGGTCACACAGATCGTAAGCCCCTGAGGCAGGGTTCAAACTCCAGTCTTCCTGATTTCCAGTCCAATGCTCTAACCACTTACTTTTGGGCGAGCAGTATTCTAAGAGGTTCATCCCAGAAGCCTTGCCAACATGTGACATTTCCAGGCTCAGTTTATCCTACTTTTCTTTTCTCCCCCCTGAGGGGGGAGAATGTCCCATGGGGGACATTTAGTCAGGAGTGAAGGGAGTCACAACCTGAATGGGAGGCAAGCATAACCCCATAAATGAAGTCAGAGATTCTTGAAGTACTTACTGAAAAGCAGGTGTAACACATGTGCCTTATCTTCCCTAGTAGCTTGAGAGTCCCTTGAGGACAGGCACCATGCCTTTCATGCCTCCATGTTCTTGGCACTATCCAACATAGCATTTTGCTACTATCAAGCATTGAGTAAATGTTTGTTGAATGAACTTAGGTACAATCTTGCTAGAAGTCAGAGGGCTGGACTGCGTGACCCTTTAATCTGTTGGAACTAGCTAGGCTGAAGGGATCATTGACTTACAGCTGGAAAGGATTCTGTAATTCAGCTAATCTACTGCACCGCTTACCAAAAAAGAAAAAAAAAAAGCTGAGGTTAGAAAACTAAGTCCCAGAGAAAGTAAGCAATTTTCCTAATTTCACACAGGTCAGATTGTAACACTGTGCTTTGAACTCAGGTTGTCTGGCTCCAAAGCCATCACTTTTTCCACTGTACTTTGTGGGAGAAATCAGCACGCAAAAACTCATGTCTAAGTTCTTTTAGTTTGTCTCTGGGTCAGTCTTCAGTCTTAGTGTATTCTTGCCTCCAATCAGTCCTTCTTAGGGTAGGATACTCTCATCCAAAGGTGGCCTTGACTTCTAGTTCTCCTGGTCTTGTGTCTGTTCCTGTCTTGGCTCCCAACTCACATGGAAGCTTAGGCTGTTATTGTCCCATAAGTCCCTCTGCCCAGTCCTCATGGCCAATCTGCTCTGGATGACCATAGCTTCTGGGAGATCTGTTTTCTTTCCTTGTCTGGAGTGCATCTGATGACCCAAAAGAGACCACCCTTCTGCTGCTAGAAAGCCAAAGATCAAGTCAAATCCTGGTTGACTATGAGATGACCTAGTCCCACTCCTTCAGTAAGGATTAAATAGGGGCCAGTAAGGTCTCTCACAATATAGCATGAAATCCTGAGGGTGATGTTTCTTGTGGAAGAAGCAGCCTAGCAACATCTGAGCCAGCCTGAGAAAATGGGTATATCATAGGGCATAGAACACTAGACCTGATCTCAGGAGGCCTGGGTTTGAATTTTATTCCAGACACTTACTAGCTGTCTGACCTTGGGCATCATCAGTGAAGCAAAGATGCCTAAATTGTAGAGCTAATATTTCCCCTTATCCCAGCCTCATAGGGCTGCCATGAGGCCCAGATAAAGCCCTGGATGTAAAGAGCTTTACAAAATGCAGTGATCTATGTCAGGACATTATTACTATACTCTGTTCCAGATTTACCAGTGTGACTCATTACCCTGACCTCCAATGTTCTGCTTTGCACTGATTCATAAATTCAGAACTAGCAGGGACCTTAGAAGTCATCTAGTTCTATTATATCATTTTACAGATGAGAAAACTGAGGCCCAGAGAGATGTAGGGGCTTGCACTAGGCTAAATCAGCCTTAAACCAGGACTAAGCAATTTATCACCTTATTAATTTAATGAAAACATGAGTAATGTTTCCACAATAAAGCATGGAAATCTTATTTCAACATGTTCCCACCCTATCTCATGTTTTGTTTTTAAATTACATGGTGATTTCTCCCAAGTGTTCAGTAGAGGGCAGAATTTCCTACCATATAAACACCCCCACATTCAGTGCAGTGAAACCCAGGAGAGTTACTTATTGAAGATGGCAGAATCACAGGGCCCCCTGACTTCAGGATTATTTAGTCATGTGGGCACACACAGAGACACAAATCTAGTATGATTCATAAATGTTTCCTTTTTGCTCATAAAATGTCATTGTCCAATTGGAGTACCTGTGAGTCCCAAGGCCCAAACCATCACTACTCTGCTCAAACAATGTCTTAGAAGAAGACATCTTTGGCCTGATGACAGGGGCAACTTTAGTGTCTCTGTGGAAATCTTGAGATCTACTGTTATCCTTCTAGCCAGGGACAGTTGGGTAGGAAACTGGAAAACTGCCAAGAGTGAGGAGTAGAGATATGAGTTAATATCAATATGGCACTTGAAGGTTTGCAAAGTGCTTTTATGTTATCTCATTTGTCTCTGTCACAATGACATCATGAGGTAGGTGACATTATTATCCCTGTTTTATTGATAAGTAAAATAGGGTGCAGCATATTTAAATGATATGGCCAGGGTCACATGGCTAATGTTTCTCTAGAAGAGTTTGACAAATCTTTCTGACTCCAAGGCTACTACATTATCTATAATGCCTCCTATACGAAATAATTACATCTTTGTGTGATTCCATAACTTCTTATAGAGGAGTTGGATTTTCAAGGTATTGAGGCGGGGGAGAGAAGAGAATTCTCCTTAATAGGCAAAGCTTTCCCTTCTAGCTAGAATTTGGAGAGAAAATATGAAAATCCATCTATCTATCCATCCATCTATCTATCTATCTATCTATCTATCTATCTATCTATCTATCTATCTATCTATCTATCTGTCTGTCTGTCTGTCTGTCTGTCTGTCCATCCATCTCTCTCTCTCTCTCTCTCTCTCTCCATCCATCCATCTATCTGTCTGTCTATCTATCTATCCATCTGTGTGTGTGTGTGTGTGTGTGTGTGTGTGTGTGTGTGCTGGGTTCTACTCCAATAGCAGTAATACACAAAGTATCAACAGCCCTCCTTTGCTCCTTACCAATCCATTTCCTCCTGAGTTCCAATCATAAAAGAATATCTAGGAGTAGAAAAAAATGCTGGCATCACTAGCTATGTCTTTATCCAATATGTTTTTTCTTTCCTTTCTTCCCCTCCTGCTGCTAGTATGAAGAGGGAAAGAAGCGGAGGAAACCCAACTATAGTAGCGTCGACCTTTCTGAAGTGGAATGGGAAGACCGAGATGATGTGGTAAGTGATTTGTTTGAAGTCTCTTGTCAGGAACCTTGGCTGGTTCCCACTACCGTACCTGGCCAATGTTTTGGGAGTCTGCTCTGGAGCCCACCCAGTTGCCCTCGTCAGAAAGGGGACCCAAGAGCCCTCTCCTTCCTTCTGACTTTTATTGCTCAGTGGGGAGGGGCCACCCAGCACACCACTGATTCCCAAACCTGCGGCGTTGATGGTTTCCTTTTAACCTTTCCATAGCAGGTCTTCCTCAGTCCTGACAAGGCTGATTTAGGCTTTGCCACTATTTTAGGGGCCCATAGGAGGATGCAGCAAACCTGCACCTTTCCTAGTTAGCTCAAATGAGCCTGGCACAACAGAGGACTCAAAGATATTTTTAGACTGTGGCCCTGGATTTACAGGTTATCTCACTGTCTCTAGCTCCCTGTCAGTTTTTATTTATTGTTTTTTCTTTGTGCCTGATCTCATTTCATTCCTCTCTCTTCCTGTGTTCCCCTCCTCCTCCTCCTCCCCACCTTAGTCTGGTGCTCCAGAGTTATTTACCTCACAGGTTTAGTCTTTGCTCCAAGGCTGTATCAGAAGCATTCCTTATGTCTGTGACTTAACCTCTATCAAGTCTTTTGTTACTTCCTCAATAAATCAGATTTGTTAGACACGGTTTGCCTTTGTGCGAATCCAGGCAGACTGTCCTTAATTAAGTCATAACTTTCCAGGTGTTCCCATGTTCCCTTCCCCGTCCCTGTTATTAGTTGTTGTTGGGGTTTTTTTCTTCCCCTCATCATATCTCAGCTACCAAAGTCCCGTTTTCTAGCCTGCATTCTCTCACTTGTATCTTGGACCCTTTCTTAAGTTTCTTCATTGTGTCTCTTTCTTTCTAGTCCCTCCACACCCATACTATCTCTCTCTTACTAAAGGGATTTTGACTACATCCATTAGTGATTTCCAAATTCATTTCTCATGTCTTTCAGAAATACTGGATGGATCTCATCTATCCATCCTAAGGGTTTTATGTCTCTTCAAATTCTTTGAAGTGTGGACTCTGTGAGCTGGCATAAATCTGTTTTTTCCTGCCTCTAAAGTAGGCATTTTAGACATTTACCTGCTGTCCTGCTCTCTAAGTGTCTGGTCCATTTGGAGTAGAGTTTAGATGGCATAGCTTTATTCTTTAAAAAATCCATTGAATTAAAAATTGTGCAAGCATTTATTAAAAGCTTCTACTATATGCCAGGCAGAAAGTTATGTTTAGTAATGAGTATTTAAAGACCAAAAAACAAATAAAAACCTCAAAGAAAAGAAAAGAAATGATTCCTGCCTTCAAGAAGATTCTATTCCATGCATTCTATAGGAAGGGAACACCATGTTAAAAATATTATATATAGTATCTATGTATGAAGTAAAGGCAAAGTAATGGGGAGTAAGGTGGGAGAGATGGCTACCAGTAAAGGGAATGAAGAAGGGAAAGACCTTTCAAATGGAATGACTTTTGTCTTGAGTTATAAAGGGAGCTCAGCAGGTGGAGGTGAGAAAGATAAGCATGAAGGCACAGGAGGTTGTCTATTCAGAGGCTCAAAGGTGGAAGAATGTGATATGTGGGGGAAAATGCATAGGTCAGTTTGGCTGGAATGTAGAGTGGGTGAGGAAGGCTGATGTGAACAATTTTCTTCTTCATTCATACCAACAGCTTGATGCACTTAGACATCGTCTGCATGACTTTATACTCTTCCCTTCTTCCATTATGGTTCTTAATGAGTTCTTCTGCCTCCATTGGATGTTCATAACATATAGTTTTTTTTTTTATCTCTTTTGATTCATCCACATCTGACCTTTCCTTTAATGTACTCCTAGTAGATTTATAATGGCCGCACATCAGGCTAAATGCTTCAATGAGGTAGTCATTTTATTTTCCATTTCTTTTACTGCTCTTTTCCCTGCATTTCCATTCTGCTTGAGATCTCAGCACACTTCCATGTTCTTTTCCGGTGATTTTTATGTTCATTGTCAACAGACTTCTCCATTCTGAAGTCCATTTTCGTGCTAATTAATGGAGAAGAAAAACTCAATTTTAGCTATGCTTGCCTCAAAGGGCTCCTGGCCCTGCATCTCTAAGCATGTCTGTTGCTTAGAACTAAGTTGGCACTCTCATTTTTCTTTCCTGTATTTGCGGCATGATTCCTGGGCCGGCTCCAGAAGATTATTTATTGCTCAATTCCTTCTATCCACTGAGTGCAGGCTCGCTTATATCTAATTAGATAACATCTCTTATTGCTAATAACTTTGGAAAAATCATTTTGGTTTCTAGGTCATATTTTCTTTTAATCAGAATCCTGGATCATCTGATTGACAAACCTTGGATAATTTAGTATCTAGATACCTAACATTATTCCTGTTGGGTGTGTCAATCATCAGAACTCCTTTATCTCTACTTTTAATCAAAATGTTCCATTTCTCAGAAAATGTTCTTTTACCACTTATTTGACTTGGACACACCCTCTACCCTCCTTCTAGGAGGCTTGAGCACTGTGTTCTGCTCTTCAAGAGGCCGATCAACTATACCTGCTAGACTTTGTACTTAGCTAAACTAGGGGGAGGGGAGAGTTGGGGGGTATAGATAGTTAAAGTGAAAGACTATTCTCAAGAGATTTACACTAAGGAATTCCAGGATCCTAGGTGATTTCAGTGACTAGAATGCTGATCACATTTATACATTGTCAGGCAGCTGGATGTACATGCAACTTTCTATGTATGTGTGAGCCATGATGGGAAAAAAAATCATTTATGTCTGATTACAAGAGAGAAGAAGCAAGAGTGTGAGAAGTGATCCAATTACATTCAAGACATTTATTAAGTAATTGCTATCTATAAGTTTTAACCTTTAATACTGATGTACTAAGACTGTTGGAACCCCCTGTACATGCCACATGCATACAGAAGTAAATACCAGAACCTGGAGTTATGCAAAACAATTTCAAGTTGTGCTTACCTGAATCAACGGTTGAGGATGGATCAGCATCCTCCTCCATGCTCTGAATGGCCTTCTCCTGCTAGGGATGAGCAAGCTTCTCTTGTTAAATGTTTAAAAGCAGGGGAGTTATTTCAACAGGGAGGGAGAATGCTCTAGTCATTGGGGGATCATGAAAGGCCTCTTGTAGCAAGTGACAATTGAACTGTGATAAGTGGAGGTGAAGAAGTCATGGATTCCAGCCATGGAGACCACCTGTTCAGAGAGCAGCCTACTACCCATCTGCAAGAGCTAGCAGGCCAGTTTGGCTGGGAGAGAGAGTCCAGGGAGAGGAGAAATGGGCAAGAGGAGCCAGATTTCAGAGGGCATTTGATACCAGGCTGGTGATTTTGTGCTTTATCCTAGAGTCAGTGGCTCCCCACTGAGGATTTCAGAATAGGGCTCTGAAACAAGCAAATTGGGGCTTTAAGAATTCACCTTGGGTAGCTTTGTGGAAGATGGATTGGATTGGCGTGACTGCCACGTGAGGGGAGAGAAGGGGACAGATGTCGATATAAAACTGAGGATGTTCACTTCAGTTCCTTAGAATCCATGATTCTTCTGTACCCCCCTGTATGTTTGTAAAAGGAAGGAAGAAGGGAAGGGGAAGGGGGAAAAGGGAGAGAAGGGAAGAAGACAAAAGAAAATGAAGAAAGAAGGAGGGAGGAAGGAAGGGCAGGAGGGCGAGTGAGTGAGCACTGGCATCTAACTGAGCCTCCCCTCCCAGCTAATCCTAATCCCCTCTGCTGCCATGTAAGCATTTTCCTTCTTCTGTCTTCGGAGAAACTGCCAACAGCTGCTCCCCATAACTCATACTCCTTCCTTTACTTGAAGACTCTAATTAAAATCCCGCCCCAGTCTTTTCTGTTTTTGGAGTTCTATAAACCTTTCTTCCCATGGTGCATTTCCTAAATCTTTCAGCATTTTGGTAGCTCTCCTCTGGACCCTCTCCAACTTCTCCATCTCATGCCTCAGTTATGCCCCCCACCCCAACCAAACGCAGCCCACCCAGAACAGCCGGGCTGCAGCTGGTTGGGGAGGAGGACACTTAGCACAGGTGCTTCGTGCTGGAATCTATTTTTACATCCTAGTATTAGGCTCCCTCCTTCCACAGTGGCAAGCCTGTTCAGCCACTGTCTTTACTCTCTCCCTTTCCTCAATCCTCCATCCTGGTTCTCTTAGGTCCTGGAAAGTTCTCTGCCCAATAAGGGTATCATTTTCTGCACAGAGAAATCTGGAGTCACCTATCTTAGAGTCCTGTGGGAAAAGGGGCCATTTTGCTTTCAGCTTTGTCAACTCTCTCAACCAATGAGTAGTATGATGTTGTAGAATTTTGTGCAATCGCCATCTCCCCCCGCCCCAAGTGACTGACAGGGATTCATCAAGAGCTGCATCTACGTGAAGGCAGCCTGTTCAAGAAAAACAGGCTCAGAAAGGACCTAGAGGAAGGGTGGCAGCCAGCTGGAAACTTGGTGACTTTGAAATAAGCAGATTATGTTCAGCCTTCAAGGGGTCAGCTAAGCTTCTGCAGGTTTAACGCTGTGAACAAGAGCAAGAAATTAGTCAGAGGTTCTGGGAATTTTTGGAAAGATTGCCTAATGGCCAGGTACAGCCCAGAAGGAGGCTGCACCAGGTGGCAAGCAGAGAGGCAGCATGTTATGGGTGGGGGCCGAGGCCGACTGCCTTTAGCACTGAGCTCTGCCATGCTTTGATCAGATGCCTCGATTGATGCTTCGGTCAGCTCACCTAAGCTTAATTGTCCCACTTCTTTGGGACACTCCAGGGCTGAACTTGACATCATAAGAACTGAGTTCAGATCTTGGCTTTGACATATTAAACCTGTGTGACCTTGGGAAAGTCCCATCACATATATGTGCCTTAGATTTCTCAGCTGAAACACGAGGCAGTTGGTCCCCACACGGCCTCCCTCCTAGCTCTGGACTATTTCTTTTCCAAGGTGATTTTTGAGGTCTCACCAAGGTCCCTGATGTTGTTTCTCACTTGATGA